TTTTTGGAGACAGGATCTGGCTATGTTGCCCAGGCCAGCCTCAAACTTCTGAGGTCAAGCAAACCTCAGCTTCCCAAGCAGCTGGTGCAACTACAAGTGTGCACCACCACATCCAGCTAATTTTTTAAATTTTTGTAGAGATGGGGTTTCAATATGTTACCCAGGCTGGTCTTAAACTCCCTAGTTTCAAGAGATGTTCCTTCCTCAGCCTCCCAAAGTGCTGGGATTACAGGTGTGAATCACCACACCCAGCCTTACTTTTTCTTAAGTATATATAAACTCCAGGTTTTGGAAGATATACAACTTGTATGAAAGCTGTGTCTGAATTTTAAAGTTAGATTTTTTTGATGTTAACATCCTTATGAAAAAGAGAATAAACATTCCATGTTGGAATGTCAATAAAAAATAGTGGGATGAATATGGGCTCTTAACAAAAGGAACAGATCATAGAAATGCCCCCCCAGCCCCTATCTTCTCAGTCTTCTCTTGCCTAATCAAACTTTTAAAATAATAAAAGTGTTCAAGTAAAAGCTAATAAATGAAAAGAGTGCTCAAACTTTATAAAAATGTCACCCACATAAACTTTAACATCTGCTTTCATTGTACTCAGTGATAGAGCAAGCAAGAAAGAAATTTGTTAATTTTCAAATCAAGCTATATATGTATGACATTCAGCTTTCCCAAGAGTCTAATACATTTGAGTAATTTTAATATTTTATAATAAAGACACTATAATTAAATGAATAATGTCATCTTATCCAAAGCACTGATAAAGGGGGAAATGAAAAGGATATTACCTGCAGTAATCTCCTTGTTTAGCGACCTTGGCCAGGGAGAAAATGCAGTCAATAGTTGCTAGGTGATGCACTGCTTTACACAAGGAGTGATAATGTTCACTGAATTTCCTATGGAAGCAGCAGCAACAACAAAAAGGTGAGCAAACTGATTTCTTAGACCTATAATAGCTCTACAACAGCAATCACTTTATCAGCTAGTGTAAGCATACAGAAGATTAGCAGACATTCCTAACAGTTAAGAGAGATGGAAATTACACCGAACAGCTTTTCTTTTTAATATAATAACTAGATTACTGAGGCTTTTTTGTTTTGTTTGGGATGTAACTACATAAATTTAAAACAGTTTCTATGTAAAAATATCAGCTATTAAGAACACATCACAGATTTTATCTGACCCTGACATTTGAACTTAGACATAACACAAATATAGCAGTCATTTTTATTTCGCTTCAATAACATCATGAACTACTCATGTGGGTCAGCTTCCCTTGTGCTTCTCCTTCATAGCATCCTCCAAACCTGAAATTACAGTTTCAATACCTTTCTCTCACACTAAAATGGAAGCTTCTTGAGAGCAGACTGTCTATCTGATTAACCCCATTGTAGACCTAACATCTAGTTCATAATGTTGTCATAAAATAAACAGTGTAATAAATATTTATTAAAGACAAGGGGAGAGTTACTTTTTTCACTTATCTTCAGTCATCTTATTAGTAATGCATATAAAAACTAAATTTTAGATTTGTTTTTTAAAATACAATGGTCATTGCCTCAAGCCTTTGGCTACTTTAAAATACCTGTTGATCTAAAAGCTTAAATGACTTTTATTGAACAACTTATTCAGAAAACATACATGAATGCTTTTTTCTTTTCTCTTAAATTATCCCATTATCTCATATTATAGTATTTTATGTCAATATGTGTAATATTGTACAAATTGTGGACATCTGTATGTAGTGATCAATTGTGGATGTTTGAAGTGTACATAATTAAACTACAAAAAGGACCCAAAACTTAGTTTTTAAGAATGGTCAGTATAAAGTATCTTTTTAAGTAAGAGGAAATATATAGCTGAGCTTAAATCTTTATAGTAACTACTCTGCCTCCAAGAGAGATTAAGACATTGTTCAATTAAAAAAATTTTTTTAAGTAGGTAGTGATGTCACAAATTCTTAAAAGATTGGAAAATGAGAAAATGTATTAAGTAAACTAACTGTAAACAGGTCCAAAAGAAAAGCTGAAGGGAAAACAAACATTTACTAACCAAAGACAATGAAGAGGTCACTATATTTTTTTCTTTACAACAATCATAAAGGTGGGTCTTCATTACCTAAGTTTTACAAATGAAGTTCAGAGAGATAATGCAGTTAGCCTAAAGCAATTGAGCCTAGACTCAAAATGTGCTCTTCTATCACCCTACCTCAGTGCAATTTTATAGACGCCTACTGGCATCTTTCCTTATTTTTGTGCATACACAGAAATAAAATAGAAATAAGTTATCTACTTTCTGTATAATATCTGAGTGTATTCTGTAAAAATGATCCAAAAACGAAGAAAATGATGACCAACAGACAATAAATACCTCTCTTAAAAAACATTTCTCTATTGTAGTGTGGGTTTCAGAAATGTTTGGACTTAGTCTGCTTACTACTGAAATTCAAAAGTTTCTAGAGTGCTTCCTAGCTTGAAAAAGATATCCAGATTAAGCTGCTAAAATGAGGGACTGTTCTTATATAATCACTATGACTTTTTAAAACTGTAACTTCTGATTTTTCTAGTATTATTAGAATAAGATATTGTACATAAATGACTTTTTCCAGATACTAGAAACAAAATTTTAACCATCCAGCTTCATTTCTGTGTTTTTTGTGAACTGAAAAATATATTCACAGTATACTATATACTTCTTTGCTGAGTAGACAGAACATAATGAATATAACTTATCTATTTCTCACGGAATTAAAGTTCATCAAAACAAATAATACAATTCCCACTAACGGTGTTAGAACCTGTGCAAAATCCCAAACACAAAAGGGACAGGCCCCTGGCATCCAACAGGCAGCCCTTAGTCACTACTTTAAAATGTGGAGGGAAGTGGAGATGGTTAACGGTTCCAGAAAAAAAAAAATAGAAAGAATGAATAAGACCTACTATTTGATAGCACAATAGGATGACTATAGTCAATTATAACTTAATTGTATATTTTGAAATGGCTTTTTGTTGAGACAGAGTCTCGCTCTGTTGCCCACATTGGAGCGTGGTGGTACTATCTTGGCTCACTACAACCTCCGCCTCCCGGGTTATAGAGATTTTCCTGCCTCAACCTCCTGAGTAGATGGGATTGTAGGCTCGCACCATCACACCCAGTTAATTTTTGTATTTTTTAGTAGAGACAGGGTTTCACCATATTGGCCACTGGTCTTGTGACCTCATGATCCTCCTACCTCCGCCTCCTAAAGCGCTGGGCTTACAGGCGTGAGCCACCACGCTCGACCTGGAATGGCTTAAAGAATGTAATTGGATTGTTTGTAACCCAAAGGATAATAGCTTGAGCGGATGGATACCCCCATTCCCTGGGACATGCTTATTTCACATTGAGTGCCTGTATCAAAACATCTCATGTACCCCATAAGTATATACACCTACTATGTACCCACAAACATTTAAAAAAATAATTTAAAAAACAATAAAATAAAATACTCCCTAGTTTGAAGATGGCATATGTTGCACTCACCTAACTGTCCTGGGCGTTTAGAGTTAGAGCCACCCTAAACGCTGAGTGGCTGCTCACTGACTTTGCTTTGTTATTTATTCTTTATTATTATCATTTTGAGATGTAGTAGTCAAACTCTTTCACCCAGGCTGAAATGTAATGGCACGATCTCAGCTCACTACAACCTCCACCTCCCAGGTTCCAGTGATTCTCCTGCCGAGTAACTGGGATCAAAGGCGTGTACCACCATGTCCAGAGAATTTTTGTACTTTTAGTAAAGATGAGGCTTCCCCATGCTGGCCAGGCTGGTCTTGAACTCTTGGCCTCAAGCAGTCCACCTGCCTTGGCCTCCCAAAGTGCTGGGATTACAGGCGTGAGCCACTGCACTTGACCATGGCTTCAACTTTAGATCTGACCACTCATTGCCCTCTTGCACTGTGGTGTATGCTGTGTCTGTTCTAACTTCTAACTCATCTGGACCTCCTATCTAGCAATCCTCTCTTTTGCCAAAAAGCAGTCACAGTTGGTATTCCTTTCCTTGGCTGACATGAGTATCAAAGCTTTGGCACTAACAAATGGTCAGGTTTTTTTTGTCACTCTCTTTCCTTCCTTCTCAGGTCCTGCCCAGGTCCTCAAGACCCTAATTAGCTACTACTCAGTAGCCTGACTTGAGGGTAACTGTCTCTGATGATCTAATTTTTAAGATGAAAATGAGTTAACACAGCTCTTAGTAGGTCCCATTTCAGTGAAAACAACAAAAAAGGAAGGAGGGATAAAGTAATTAATTTGATATGAACAACAATGCTCTTTCTAATGTCAATGGTAAAAATAAGATGTGAATAAAATGAAAAATTATCATAAACCTATAACATCATCATAACTCTTTTTTTTTTTTTTTTGAGACGAAGTCTTGCTCTGTTGTCAGGCTGGAATGCAGTGGCGCAATCTTGGCTCACTGCAACCTCTACCTCATTCAATCAATTCTCCTGCCTCAGCCTCTCGAGTAGCTGGGGCTATAGGCGTGCACTACCATGCCCAGTTAACTTTTGTATTTTTAGTAGAGATGGCATTTCACCATGTTGGCCAGGATGGCCTTGATCTCGTGACCTTGTGATCAGCCTGCCTCAGCCTCCCAAAGTGCTGGGATTATAGGCGGAAGCCACCGTGCTTGGCCCAGCATCATCATAACTCTTAAGGAAGCTTTGTTTGGGTCAGGAGATCAAGACCATCCTGGCCAACATGGTGAAACCCCGTCTCTACTAAAAATACAAAAATTAGCCAGGTGTGGTGGCATGTGCCTGTAGTCACTGCTACTCAGGAGGCTGAGGCAGGAGAATCGCTTGAACTCAGGAGGCGGAGGCTGCAG